AGGAAATCGACCAAAGTGGAAGGTGATATTCTGAAAGAGAATACAATTTCCTACAAATTGATACCATACACTTCTTGGAAACACTAAAAAAAAGGCAGCTAAAAGTCGCACCCAAATAAAAAGTGTGAAAAACACCGTTTTCAATGTATTTCTTATGGAAAACATGTTTCTTTGAAATTTTTCACCATAAATCATAATAAAAACAAACTTTCATAATTATTTGCAAATCTACACGACCTAAGCTTTCCAACGACCCATTAATTAATAAAATCGGTCCAGTAGAACTCTAGATTTAGTTGTACAAAGATTTTTAAAACTGAATTATATATAGAACTAGCAGAGTACCCGTCCTTCGTACGGGGTTGGCATATAAGTATCAAATGCTTATAGCAGTTATGAGTGAGGACATGGTTTAAGAAATTTCGGTTCTTTTTGAAGTTCGTTCGCTACGCTCACTCACCTTTAGGTTGGAGCTCGTTCGCTGCGCTCACTTTCCTTCAGGTTAGCTCGTTCGCTACGCTCACTTGCCTTCAGGTTAGCTCGTTCGCTACGCTCACTCGCCTCCAGGTTGAAGTTCGTTCGCTACGCTCACTCACCTTTTGGTTGCAAATTAGCTGTTGTCATAAATGTAAAAGAAATAATGCTAGTGCTGCACCCTGTTGGTAATCCTTGTAACTTTAATGCTATTGAAAATCATAGAACAGAACCAACTTGTTTAATTGAAACAGCTGTTAAGATTCATTAATTCCATTTCTCATAAGGTTAACATGGGAACCTTTGCTCCAGAGCCACTGGGGCGGAGCCCGGAAGGATTTTTGGGATAAAAATATGCCTATATGTTAATCGGGAATATGAGCTATCATCATGCCGAATTTCAGCCCGATCCGACCAGTAGTTTTCGCGTTTACTTTTCCCATACACACAGACACCACCTCTTTTTTATAATATATAGAATAGATGGGCAAGAGCAATGATGTTGACAGTACGATGGGTGAAGTGCGATTAATACCTATATGACAATGCCCGTGTGCCCCCTCCCTATTCCAATACGGGATCATAGTAACTTCAACGCGTCTCTTTGTTCTTACACTTGCATTGAAATCACGTGATTCGCCGTTAGATAAGCCTAAAAAGCCGAAAAGAACTAAGTAAACTGTTACAACTTGACCTAAATACAAAAGCAAAAAAACAACTAAATATTACACTTGATTTAGGGACGGTGACACGCTACAATTCTATGAGGAATTGATAAATGGTACATTACCGGTACATTACGGTACGGTTTATTAATAAACGGTATCAGCATTCTGACACATACTTTCTCCCATAAGTTTGTCAACAACCTTTATTATGTGTAAGTGGTGAGAGTAAATATACGCAAATGGGATTTGTACAATTTTGTTTAGAATTTAAAGGACTATAACATGCTAAATTTTTATCAAAATCGTTCGGGCCATTTTTGGGAAAATCCGATTTTTCTGTTATTTTATGCGGGTTTTATGGGAAAGTGACATAATTTACAATAACTTTTGAACCGTAATTTTTACAGAAATGGGATTAGTACCATTTTGTTCAGAATATAAAGGGCTATAACATACTAAATTTTTATTAAAATCGTTCGGGCCATTTTTGGGAAAATCATATTTTCCGTTATTTTATGGGGTTTTATGGGAAAATCCCAATTAAAAATAATAAATTCTAAAAATTAAAAAAAATATTAAAACTGTAAGGACTATAACATACTATGTTAAATCAAAGCCGGATTTTTTTCTAAAATCCTATTTTTTGTTATTTTATGGGGTTTTTAATGGGAAAATAACATATTTGACCATAACTTTTGAACGGTAATTTTTACAGAAATGGGATTTGTACCATTTTGTTCAGAATTTAAAGGGCTACAACATACTAAATTTTAATAAAAATCGTTCGGGCCATTTTTGAGAAAATCAGATTTTTTCGGCTTTTTAAGGGTTTTTATGGGGAAATCCCCATTAAAAATCAAAATTTCAAAAAAATGAAAAAAACGCCTGGAGATACCATGGATTAGAACCTACATACCAAATTTCATCGAAATCGGACCACAGGTGTAGTCCCTAGCTCTGTACACATCCAGACACACAGACACACACACAGACACACACACACACACACATCACTTCGAAAACCACTTTTTTGGGTCCAGGGGGACCCAAAACGAATATATCCACTCAAAACTCAAACTCGAAAATTTTGACGAAAACAATACTTTCTCCATATACTATGGTATAGGGGGAGAAAGTTAAAATCAATAGCTCCAGTATTGATAATGATTTTTATATGTTTTGGACTCAAAATAATCAGTAACGTATAGGCTTTAATTTGATTTATTGATTGTTTAAATCAGTTAAGCTCAAGATACTGTATTACTCAATCAAAAATCATAAATTTTATTTTTTTGGATAATATATTTATTTTAAAGCTGCGGATCAGCATGGGTCCTTTCCTACACGTAAAATGCATAAAAAACATAAGATTAAACTTTAAAAACATAAGTGTGTATGCTAAATTAAGTTAATTAATCATTAGCAATGATAACAGCTTTATAATTAATTTAAAAAGTGGCAATAACAAACCGTATTTAGTAGATTTAAGAATTAATATAATCTAAAAAAGAATTATTTTAATATAAAACATATACCATAATCTCCGCAATTTCATGCAGTTTACAACTGTATAAACCAAATGACAATCGAGCCACTATGAACAGAGAGAAAGAGAGCGTATTTTGTGAGCACAAACGCGGAAACGCTATAAGACGTCATTACGTCTTATTAGTAACTCATTAGTAGGTTACTCATTAGTAAGAGAGAGACAGTAACAACCTTACGTGGTGGGGGGAGCGGCGAGCGGTCGGACTGAAAACCCAGCACACAGCGCGCGATCCAGCTGTAGTAATAATAGAGATCGATGGATGATATAGAAATCAATGACAAAAAAATTCATAAAGCAAAACATCTCATAACAATATAAATAGCATCAATAAAATCTGAATGAGCAATAATACATATATATATAACAAGTTATAATCATCTGAATAATCCAACAACAATAACAAACAATAAGTAACAACAACAGTAAATGGCTCTGCAACATTCAACATATAACGTACTACAGTAGAGTCCCCCAAACTCGGCGTAATGTGGACTGGAAGGGTGCCAAGTTTGTGAAATGCCGGGTTATCGGGAACTAGGGTTAAAAATAAGAACAATACAATTTTTAAGCTATTTAACCGCCTTTTTTTTATTAATATTTATATTAAAAGTCAGTATTAAGTCATCAGATATGGTAAACAAATCCTTGGTACGAGTTGTGAATGATTTGACTTGAGCTGGCTTGAGTCCATGTTTAACTCGGACTAAAAAAATCACTAATTTTTTTAGCCAGATGATGGCCGAGTTATCCAGACTGCCGGGTTATCGAGTGCTGAGTTTGCGGGACTCTACTGTATCTCCTAAACTATTTCAGCTATCGATACAAAATTTTTACGACATTGTTAAATGGATGCGCCCCAGAGCTGGGCTAGCGATAAATTCCAAGATTGAACAAGTTAGTGAGTTCTGCACAGACACCAAATTTGAATATAAGTTCTAGAGATAGCCAATTCCGCGTACCCTTTGTGATATTCAAGTCTAGATTTATCAATCAGAGCACATTGACTACAAAATTAGGTTCCGAGTTTTCAGGATGTTTCACGACAAGCGGTGTTATTGGTTTTGTTTATGGGAGGAAAATGAGCTCATGAAATGGTCTTTGGCCAACCAACGTCAATCACTGAACCACACAGTTTGGGAAGTTGATCTGAAAGCGCTCCCTACAAATCTGCATTTTGACAACAGCTCAGAGCTGAAGACAGACCCTAGGTTGGCTATGTATCAATCTCTGACTCACCTAGGTGTATCATCACTGTTCTTGCAGGGACAGCTTCAGCACTTGATCAAGAGTCTCCTGCTCCAGCTGTCGTTGACGTTCTTCTTCCTCTCTCTGTTGCTGGGACAGCTGAATAACTGCGAGCAATTCTGGGTCCAGGTCTTGGTAGGAGGACAGGCTGGCCTGGATAGCTCTACATACAAAACAAGCTTGCTACAAGGACGCTACAGGGTTAAAATGCTAAGGACCGAGAAAAAAATTCAACCAATATGCAATAATATATGTAATCAATACTTACAATGCTTTGTGTTACAGTATCCAAATAAAAAAAGATGAAACTATAAAACAAACTTACACATTGTACAAGGGCAATTCACATTTTACCAGACTTGAATTATTTTTTTTAAAAGACATTGTTTACACAATTTAAATCAAGCAAAGGTGTTTCAACATCAATATCAAACCAATCAACAATATTGTTAATTCCTGATTAAAAGTAAATAAAATAACAGAGATAAACTTATGTAATTCAAATTTAAGGATAGTTTGAAGTTTTAATTTTATCACTGGCCCCTTAGTGTTTAAATTATCTATTCAAATTATTTTAAGTTCCACTCTAGTAAATTTTTAAGTGTTTTTAATTCTTACTGGCTATATCTCTTATTGAAACTAATTATGAATAGGGCATGCAAATGCAAATAATGATAAATTTAATTAAAAAATAATATAATGCACTGAGATGTATATTTTTATTAAATAACTTCTTGATCAGCATTGTACGTGTTATTAAATTTAAGGAAAGTAAATAAAAGAAACGTCTTATAACACTTAAAACATATATTTACGCTTATACTGTTACTCACAAGACGGTAAATATACAAAAAGATGGTAAGTGGTGATCGATTTTGATTGGACACTCCAATCATCATCAGATCCAATAGGCGAATGGACACTCCAATCATCATCAGACCCAATAGGCGAATGGACACTCCAATCGAAATTGATCACCACTTACCATCTTTTTTGTATATTTACCGTCATGTGAGTAACAGTATTAGTGTAAATATATGTTTTAAGTGTTATAAGACGTTTCTTTTATTTACATCCCGTATATTTTTATTCTAACTTATTGTTTCACCTCTCCGAACAAAATATAAATTTTCTGTTTGACTGATGTCAATGTAGTATTTATGTTGAATATGTAAAAGATTAGAAGGTTTTGTTTTGGAATAACATTATAAAATGGTTGGTTCAAATATAAGCTAAGAAATTATCTGACAGTTACTGTTAAAGGTCAAAAACAAAAATATCCATTTATTTTAAATTAAATAATTTTAGTGTGATTGAAAAAGAAACTAAACAAAAATGCTTGACAACCTAATTGGTTAACGGTGTGATGAGTTCAAGCGCTCTCAAACGTGTTTGTTTCAGGTACGGTATATTATTAAATTACGTGGCAGTACTCAAACTCTAATCAATTATTGGATTAATTAAGACAATAAACACAGCTGCAATCCTAGATAAAGGGTTGTCCTTGATTACTGCAGTTCTAAGGGGGTTGTATTGTTAAGGGGACATAGTTTTAAGAATATGGTATTTCAAGCTCATGATGTAACATTTAGGGTACTTTTCTTACATATTTACTTTGCTGGGTCACTACAATTATTGAAAAAAATTAAATAAAAGGTGGATATTAATTCATAATTATAAAAATCTAATGTGTAAAATTGAATATGTTTTCACTCAGTTAAATGTGTAATCAGAAGTTACCAAAATTCTATTTCAACATCTAAGTGGTGCAAAATAAAACAAATTGACATAAGTTACAATCACAAAACTATTTTAAAATAAGTTTTGCAACTACCGTTTTGGGACTTGAAGGTTTGGAGACCTAGATTTAGGTAGATCGCTGTAAAAATATTCACTATTAGTTGCATGATCTTGGTTTGTAGATGAGACGAGCAAATGTAAAGTGTGAAAGTTAACTGATTCTATAATACTACTACTTTACATTATTAACAATAGAGGCAGAAACCATTTCCAATTACTGTGAAATGAAGTGTCACTATTTTCAGAAAATAACTAGGATTGCTTTCATAGCAGTGAAAGCCAGTTGAGCGGAGCGATCACGTTTCATGGTTTTTAATAAAGCAATAAATAAATAATATGCTTATAGATATAATAGAAAATACAACTATTTCATCAATTAATTTAGCTTATCAGTTTCGCTCAAAACTATCAACATCTATGAAACTATCAACACAAGTTTCATTAGTCTAATGTCACTTGCATTAGTCTATTGCAAAAAAATGCAATAAATAACATAAAATACAATCGCTGTGTAAACTAAGGTCGGAAATTGGATATTTATTTATTAATATACATATATATATATTATGTAAAAACAGTAAATGAATAAACTATTAGCCTAATTAATAAAAACTAGTGGCTTGTAGGGACATAAGTCCCTAAAAAGCTCAAATGTAAAACAACTTTTTGCAATACCGGTATTTAAACAAACTCAGAATAACATTATCTATGTGTCAGAATAGGCATCCCTACACAATATCTTTTGTGTAAAAACCAGTTTGTTGTTCTTCTTTGTTTGCTTTTGTTGATGTCATTTTTAATAAATAATTTGAATCACTCCAGTGGTTTAACATGAAAAGGCAGCAAACATATCATTGTTTGTGAATAAATACTGGTTTACTAAGGTAGCTTTGGTCTTGTGGTTAATGAGGATAAATAAAAGCTTCCCTGTTTGGAATTTTAAATATTCATTGGAGGTTCGCCTTCAGATGAATTGAAGACGCCTGCAATTTCATCTGCAGTAGGCTTATTGCAGTAGGCTTATACCTACGACGATCCATATTTATCGTGTCTACAAACCTAAGTTCTAATTCACTGTCACCTTGTACAACCATTTCTTCCGAAGCTCTTTTGTAAATTTGTGCAAATGGATTTTCTAATAGAATTTCAGCTAGTTTTGACAATATTTCAGGTTTTAAGTCACTATTTTCTCGACGCCTTTGACGAATTTCTGTTGCTGTTGATGTGTCAATAATGTACAATTGGCCATACACGGGGTCTTCATCATGTTGAGGCAGCAAATCTGAGATTGAACGATAAATCTGTCCTTGAATTTTGAAACAGTATGGTCCTTTTCCTGGAATATCTTTCTTACTGGCTGAAAAATAAGCAAAAGCCATCGCACTGTTGCATTGTCGAATGAATTTATACAGTTGTGGGCTCTCTTCAAACATACTTTTAAGTTCTACATTAGTTTTTGACTGAGGAAGGTTAATAAGTCCGTTATGGCAACATGTCATAAAATGATTATTCGTTAGTTCTTCTCTAAAATGAAGAGCACTACATTGAATGCACTCTTGGTCCAGTAATCCTGCATCATGGATCTTTACATTTCTCTCGACTACCATGGGTCTCCTAAAAAGGGGTTGTAACATATATCTTGATTAAGTTCGTCATTATCTACTCTTGCTCTCCTACGCGCACTGTCATTCCTATGAACAGTTCCCCGCCTTTGTGGTATTCCCCTGGCGTTCATATTAATTACAGTACTTATAATGAAAAGAATATATATCCAGCAGCCTACATACCAAAACATTTTGAATCCCTGGTGATATTATAAAAGTATGATCGAATATGATTACTCTACGTTGTATATTCACTGCACTAAAAAAATTAACTTACGAAGGAATGCAAATACACCATTTTAGAACCAATAACATTTATAGGTTATTTTAGTTGTATATATTTACACAACCTTAACCTTAAAATGTGTAGAAATATAAAGAAAACAACATCATTTAAAATAAACTTGAACATATGATTTAAAAATAAAAACAAAACAGAAGTTAGATTTAATTTCGACTCTTTGATTATTTATACAGAATATTTATTCTATGTCGTTTATTCCTTTAACACGACAATAACGTAAAAGAATGAAAAATGAAACTTGAGTATATGATTTAAATATAAACAAAGAATTTTCCGACTAATCTTCAATATTTCAGTTTTATTATAAAGAAAGACCTTTAAAATAAGACCCCTCCCATCCTTCTACGGCCATCCAGTCACTCACAATTTCTTTACAAAAATTTGACTTACGGAATTATATATATAGATAAATAAACTCCTATCAAAAGTAATAACAGCAATTATTTTAATAAACAATGACTAAAAACTAACTAAACCTGTGGGGAAGAAAATGTTGTAATCAATTCAACTCCAACGGTATTTAGTGAACTCATCCACCTCGTAGAACACAAGATTCGTCAACTTTCTCTTCAGTCTTGTTTTAAACAAATGAGAGCTCTCCAGGCTTTTTAGTCTCTCAGGAAGAGCGTTAACCCTCGGAGTGTTATTTGTCGATGCTTCGACACATAACACACTTTGTGTAGTGTTTTGTGTCGATGCATCGACTCACAAACACTGTTTACGGCGAAAGCTCTATGACTGACAAAATCGGATTGAACTGGATCGAGTTAGGTATCGTTTTATTTGACAGATTCAGAGCTTTCTCCGGAGGTCTGTCTCTAAGCGCTTTTCATTTTAGTTCCGAAAATATTGTAGCAGACAGCTGACGTGCGTATTTGTAAACAGCTTGGTTAACCTCGCACCGATGACTGATGTGTTTTATTACGTTTATCATTGTTTTAGTGTTAAAAATCAAAAGTAGTGATATACGTGGTGCATTATAAGAAGATTTAAGTGATTTTGAAGGGCTGGTTGATGATCCTGAAGAAGTAGGTAGTGATATTGATGTGAGACTTGTAAATTATCAGCCAGATTCCTAGCTATGGTTAGGCTATGCATTCTTAGCTAAACGCTATGTACTGAAATCTGTTTTTTGCCCATAACTTATTTATTTGCAAATATACTTCCTTATATTATTATATATTTGTAATCCTCATAAAATTTAGAACAAAGAGGCTATTTTTAAATATTTATAGGCCTATAACTTATACAATTTCATTGAGCGCAAACTTATTTTTTTTTGAAAATTTTCCAAAATTTTTTTTTTACCTAAAATTTTTTTTGAAACAAATGTTCCTTATGTTTTATGTATAATATTGAAGCCCATGATTTTCCAAACAAAATGGTATATAGAACAGTATAATTAACATTGTTTTCAAGCTTCTCAGATCCGTTTTAATAAAACCTTGCAAATGAGCAAAAAATAGGCAGACATTAAGGCCAAAACAAGGGACACTTGGAGGGTTAAGGAACCCGACACCTACTTGAGAAGGGAGTTTCGCAAACGCAGCTGTGCGGTGTTGGACTGTGCAAAATTCGTACCTTGCTCTAGTTCCATAGCTGTGAGCAAATTGCTGTGAGTTAATAGCATTGCCTTGAATTGGTAAGTGTTGGAAACGGCAAAAAACCACAGTCTTCAAAATATAAAGGGAAGTTAGGGTCAAGATTCCAAGCTCCCTAAAAACAGCAAGCTTCTACAACTTAAGGAAAAATTCCTTTAAAAATTATAAATATTCCCCGATTGCAGGTTCTAACAAGTAACTTAATATAAACCTGTCTTATTCACTTCTAAAAGAAACAGTATATTCTTCAAAAATTCATAACATCACAACTACTCTGTTTACAAATCAGAATAAAAAATCAAACATATGATCATATTATGTTAGTTCCACACAGTACAGTGTAGTTAATTAAACCAAAGTCTTTTAAATAGGGGTTAATGAAACCAAAGTCTTTTAAATTGTATTCTTAACACATCCTCTTTCATGTGGACTTAAATTTGCAATGAGTCTGATGGCTCTTTTCTGGAGTATAAACACCCTTTCAAAATCTCGCTTGGCACAACCACCCCATAACCTAATTCCATAGGAAAGGTGGGGTTGAACAAGGCCATAATAGGCCATTATTAGAACTTGTTTTGTGCAGGTCTGTTTGAGATTTCTTAAGGCAAAAATACCTTATGTGATTTTGGAGCAGAGGCTATCAATGTGATCTTGCCAGTTCAGCGCCTTATCCAGGTGCATCCCTAGGAACTTGATAGAATCAACCTCCTCTAGAGAGGTGTCATCTACCATTACTGTGGGTGTAGACTCATCGGTGACGAAGTGCAAAATGAATGTAACATGTTTTTGATTTGTTTGTGCTTAAATTTTCGGATTGGAATTTTTGAATGCAGGCGTTCAAGTTGATGAAGCTTTCAATTTCAAGGGTTTCTTGGGATTTTGATTCAAAATAGAGAGTCGTGTCATCTGCATACTGTATGACCTTCCCACTGTTCATTGAGGAGTGGATGTCAACCAATAACCGTACAAAACACTTTGATATACAAAATAATTTGTTGCAGCAAACCTGCCGACTAAGCGAATTTCTATTATGTCTATATTCTATATGTCTGAATTGATTTTCAATTAAATCTATTTAAATAACATTTAGGTTTAACGAGTACCTAGGTTTGCTGCTACAAGGAAACTAGTTAAGTGTATTTTTTAGTAAAATATTAATAGCTTAGTATAAAATAAATGTATTTGCCAAGTATGATCAAAATATCGTATACTCTAATACGAGCAATGTTTGCTTGTATGTATGTATGTATGCTTGCTTGCTTGCTTGCTTGCAAACAAGATCTCGAAAACGGCTCCGACGATTTTCTTCAAATGTTGTAAATAGTTTATTTCTGGCCTAAAAACGAGTTTACTGCAGTTAGAACTGCTAACAAAAATCTAATTACGTAGAAAAATGAAACTGAAAATCACATTTTTTTAACATTAGTCTTATGGGTTGCTAGGTAACCATGTTGGCTGAATTAAATAACAAGGAAAAAGTAAACAAAAGACTTGAAGTTGTAGCATGTGTTCATAATAAGCCAACTACCCACAGTATACTAGCAAATTACAAATACATTACAAGAGGAAA